GGAAGGAAGTCTCCATAAATAGTACTAGCAAGGAAGGAAAGAAGGAAGAACTACAGTTAGTACTAACAAGAAAGGAAGGAAGGAACTGCCCCATAACTAGCACTAACAAGGAAGGATGGAACTCCCCAAACCTAGCACTAAAACAAGGAAGGAGGAAGGAAGGTCCCCAGCTAGTACTAACAAGGAAGGAGGAAGGGAGGAAGGAAGGGAGGAAGGAAGGAGGAATTCCACAGCTAGTACTAACAAGGAAGGAGGGAGGGAGGGAAGGGAGGAGGAGGGAGGGGGAAGGAAGGAGATAACTAGCACTAACAAGGAAGGACGGAAGGAACTCCCCAAACCTAGCACTAACAAGGAAGGAGGGAGGGAGGAAGGAATTCCCCAGCTAGTACTAACAAGGGAAGGAGGAAGGGAGGAAGGAAGGAGGAAGGAAGGAAGGAAGGAATTCCACAGCTAGTACTAACAAGGAAGGAGAGGAGGGAAGAAAGGAGGAAGGAAGGGGAGGAAGGAAGGAACTCCCCACCTTTAACTAACAAGGGGTCGTGAAACACAAGTCGGTCATCACTGGTCTCAGCACATAATGGTCGCTGGTGGTGAGGTAAGGTCGCTTCAGTACCTCCAGGCTCAAGGCTTGGTTAGTAGAGAGCTGATGGGAGACAAGAGTTTTTACTACTACTACTACTCTGCAACTGCTCCTACTAGTACAATACTACTACGGTACTACTGCTACTACTACAGGCACATATGGGGTCACAAGCACAGACAGGGTCACAGGCACACAGGGTCACAAGCACACAGTCACAGGCACATGTAGGGTCACAGGCACACCTGGGTCACAGGACACACGGATAGCACAGCGAGTCAAAGCACACACGGGGGTCACAGGCACAACGGGGTCACAGGCACACACAGAGGTCACAGGAATACACTGGGTTTACAGGCACATACAGGGTCACAGGGACACACGAGGTCACTGGCACACACGGGGTCACAGGCACAACACGAGGTCACAGGCACACAGGGTCCATGCACACGGGGTCACAGGCGCACGGAGAGCACACACGAAGTCAAAGCGCACATAGGTTCACAGGCACACGGGTTCACAGGCATACACGACGTCACAGGCACACACGGGTCATACAAGGCAAGACACGGCGTTAAAGATGAACCCTTGATAACAATGACCGTCTTGACAAGCCCATCTCCTGACAGGATCCCCAGGCCCATTACCTCCCTCATATTTTCTGGAAAGTTACAAGGAGGCGAATTTATTTACTTATTTCCCACTGTGTTGACGTTTGTGAGGCGGAGGTGACGTAGTGTGTTCGTTGAGGTTCATCTGAGAATGTTTAGACACGACGATTGAAGGCGGCGTGAGATCTCGTTTTCAAATTTGCTATTTTGAGTGAAAGTTAGTTCCATGAGCTTGATAGCCTAGTAAAAAGCCTGCTTGTGTCTATGGAAGGAGTTGGATAATTATTTTTCTTATTGGGGTCCAGGTACTGCTGATAAATCGTTCAGTTTTTCTTATGTGACGACGAAGTCAAAGTCCCGTCCACAGTTCGGACAGTGTGAGTCACGGGCCACTGAGCGAGCATCATGGTGGCGGCGGCAGCGAGAGAGACTGACATCTCTATTTTGATGGCTCACAGTTTTTATCCTCAGTAATCCATAACTTCTTTAAAGTTACTAGATTATTTCATGCTCCGCCATAAATATGGATAGGCATTTACATCTTGTACGTACGTCTGTCTGTCTGTCTGTACGTGTATTAATGTATACGAGTATACCCTCAATAACACCGAAACAAAATCTCTTTTTTACCACTGGGAATCATTATTTAATTCTCCTAAAGATATTCAGCCGTCAAAACAACAACACTTCGAAATCACAACAAACTTCATAATCACAACAACTACAACCAGATCACTTATAAATTATGTTAATATTGTAATTTATAATCCACACAGCCTGTATACTTTTCCAAATTACTTATTCATAAAAAAGTGATTACATAAACGGAACTCGTAAAGAGGTCGGCCATGAAAGGTAATAACACAGGTGGGTAACTCGTCATCGGTTAATTAAGGTCATTACCTCAGGTGTGCTGTTTGGGGTATGTGTGTGTGTGTGTGTGTGTGTGTGTGTGTGTGTGTGTGTGTGTGTGTGTTTGTGGATCATTATGAGTGCAGTGGTCTAAGTCTACTGCACTATGGAGAGAGAGAGAGAGAGAGAGAGAGAGGGGGGGAGAGAGGAGAGAGAAGAGAGAGAGAGATTCTACTTTAAATACAGCCAAGTTAACCCTCTCTCAACCATCCAGTGTAGGTAATTATATGCAATGCGAGGTGAGCAACCACTCTAGTTCGTCAGCTTAGAAAATCCAACGAATTGATTTCATTTGCTACTAATTGCAAGTGAGAGATCATTACACTTGCATACTAATGATAATTACTTAGTTAATGTTATTGGTAGTTGATTACGGTTCATCAGTACCCATGTCATTAAAATCTGGCTAATGAAACATTTCTCTGTGTTGATTGGTAAGAGAAGGTAGTTATTATGACACTAATTAGTTATTTGTATAGAAGTAATTTTTTATATCCTATCAATAACACACAGGGTAATAATTGTACATTATATAATTCTCTATTACTACTAATTACTTATCTAATCCCACTTAACTACATAAAGCTACTTAATTACATCATAGTAATAGTTCATTACATAATACTAATTAATTACTTAAGATTAAAAGACCCGCAATAAATTCAATTAATTTTCGCTGGAGGTAAATGGGCCTGGTGGTGGGTGCCTGGTGGTGGGTGCCTGGTGGTGGGTGCCTGGTGGTGGGTGCCTGGGTGGGGTGCCTGGTGGTGGTGCCTGGTGATGGTGCCTGGTGGTGGGTGCCTGGGTGGTGCCTGGTGGTGGGTGCCTGGTGGTGGGTGCCTGGTGGTGCCTGGTGGTGGTGCCTGGTGGTGGTGCCTGGTGGTGGTGCCTGGTGGTGGGTGCCTGGTGGTGGGTGCCTGGTGGTGCCTGTGGTGCCTGTGGTGGTGCCTGGTGGTGGGTGCCTGTGGTGGGTGCCTGGTGGTGCCTGGGTGTGGTGCCTGGTGGTGGTGCCTGGTGGTGGGTGCCTGGTGGTGGGTGCCTGGTGGTGGGTGCCTGGTGGTGGGTGCCTGGTGGTGGGTGCCTGGTGGTGGTGCCTGGTGGTGGTGCCTGGTGGTGGTGCCTGGTGGTGGTGACTGGTGATGGTGCCTGGTGGTGGTGCCTGGTGGTGGGTGCCTGGGTGGTGGTGCCTGGTGGTGGTGACCGGGTGGTGGTGCCTGGGTGGGGTGCCTGGTGGTGGGTGCCTGGTGGTGGTGCCTGGTGGTGGTGCCTGGTGGGGTGCCTGGGGTGGGTGCCTGGTGGTGGGTGCCTGGTGGTGGGTGCCTGGTGGTGGGTGCCTGGTGGTGGTGCCTGGTGGTGGGTGCCTGGTGGTGGGTGCCTGGTGATGGTGCCTGGTGGTGGTGCCGTGGGTGGTGGGTGCCTGTGGTGGTGCCTGGTGGTGGGTGCCTGGTGGTGCCTGGTGGTGGTGCCTGGTGGTGGTGCCTGTGGTGGTGCCTGGTGGTGGGTGCCTGGTGGTGGTGCCTGTGGTGGGGTGCCTGGGGTGGTGCCTGGTGGTGGGTGCCTGGTGGTGGTGCCTGGTGGTGGTGCCTGGTGGTGGGTGCCTGGTGGTGGAGCCTGGTGGTGGTGCCTGGTGGTGGGTGCCTGGTGGTGGTGACTGGTGGTGGTGCCTGGTGGTGTGGTGGTGGTGCCTGGGGTGGGTGCCTGTGGTGGTGCCTGTGGTGGGTGCCTGGTGATGGTGCCTGGTGATGGTGCCTGGTGATGGTGCCTGGTGGTGGTGACTGGTGGTGGGTGCCTGGGTGGGTGCCTGGTGGTGGTGCCTGGTGGTGGTGCCTGGTGGTGGGTGCCTGGTGGTGGTGCCTGGGTGGTGTGGGTGGTGGGTGCCTGGGGTGTGCCTGGTGGTGGTGCCTGGTGGTGGTGCCGCGGTGGTGTGGGTGTGTGCCTGGTGGTGGGTGCCTGGTGGTGGTGCCTGGTGGTGGGTGCCTGGTGGTGGTGACTGGTGATGGTGCCTGGTGGTGCCTGGGTGTGGGTGCCTGGTGTGTGCTGGTGGTGGTGACTGTGATGGTGCCTGGTGGTGGTGCCTGGTGGTGGTGCCTGGGTGGTGGGTGCCTGTGATGGTGCCTGGTGGTGGGTGCCTGGTGATGGTGCCTGGTGGTGGAGCCTGGTGGTGGGTGCCTGGTGGTGGGTGCCTGGTGGTGGAGCCTGGTGGTGGGTGCCTGGGTGGTGCCTGGTGGTGACTGGTGATGGTGCCTGGGTGATGGTGCCTGGTGGTGGGTGCCTGGTGGTGGTGCCTGGGTGGGTGCCTGGTGATGGTGCCTGGTGGTGGTGCCTGGTGGTGGTGCCTGGTGATGGTGCCTGGTGATGGTGCCTGGTGGTGGGGCCTGTGGTGGTGCCTGGTGGTGGGTGCCTGGTGATGGTGCCTGGTGGTGGTGCCTGGTGGTGGTGCCTGGTGGTGGTGCCTGGTGGTAAGCTGCGGTGGTGCCTGGTGATGGTGCCCGGTGATGGGTGCCTGGTGATGGTGCCTGGTGGTGGGTGCCTGGTGGTGGTGCCTGGTGGTGGTGCCTGGTGGTGGTGCCTGGTGGTGGGTGCCTGGTGGTGGTGCCTGGTGGTGGTGCCTGGTGATGGGTGCCTGGTGATGGTGCCTGGTGGTGGGTGCCTGGTGATGGTGCCTGGTGGTGGTGCCTGGTGGTGGTGCCTGGTGGTGGGTGCCTGGTGGGGTGCCTGGTGGTGGGTGCCTCAACAGTCATTGGCAAATGTATCTGGTGTGGTACTCTGGTTATAGCTGTCCCCCTATTCCATCCAAGTAATCTCATCCCAGAGAGAGAGAGAGAGAGAGAGAGAGAGAGAGAGAGAGAGAGAGAGAGAGAGAGAGAGAGAGAGGAGTTATATACAGTAACTCACCTGACTAGCTTGTTAGCGTCTGTGAGGCGAAGGTGAGCATCTCTCTGGTGAGGACGCCCATCACTGTGTAGAACTCGTCAGCTGAGTGCACCTCCAGGATACGTCTGTGGGAGGAGGGTGGTGATGATTAGCTAGGGTGATGATGGTGGTGGTGGTGGTGGTGGTGGTGGTGAGTGGTGGTGGTGGTGGTGGCGAGTGTTGATGGTAATAGTAGTGGTGATGGTGGTAGTGGTGATGGTGGTGATGGCGAGTGATGATGGTGATGGTATAATAAGTGATGGTTGTGGCAGTAAAATCATAAGATTATCCACAACAATGAGACAAACTAGAGAGAGAAGACTGTGTTGCCGGCCACCAATTGTTGTGAGGGGAGTACCAGGTAGTGATGGTCGCTGATGAAGGTAATCACCAGGTTTAATGATGGTAGATCAATTGTTCAATGAGAGAGAGAGAGAGAGAGAGAGAGAGAGAGAGAGAGAGAGAGAGAACACAGTTAGTTATGGTTGTTTGTATGATAGCCAGCTTCGGTATTAATAGATTTTGTTTACAATAATTATGAAGGATCCTCTACCAGTAGGTAGTAGGCAGCTACCAAACAGGGAGGTACTACCTCCTGGGAAGATATTGGAAGCAGGGTCTACCATTAGAATTGTCTAATGTGACCCTGCTGCCATATGGCAGCACAAAATAGTGACCTCTTTTACACACAATTGCAGGGTCTCAATTATTTCTCTTACTATTGACAACACAACATTAATATAGATTTTCACTCGATGTTTTATTAATATATATATATATATATATATATATTTTTAATTGTATTTATTTATGGTTCAATTTTTCGTCCACCAGGCCGTGGGGTCGGGACCTGTTCCGGGAAGTAATCCCAAAAAAAAAAAGTACAAAGGTGATGTTAATGAAGAGATATTCGTTCATGGAATAGACCAATAAAAATGCGGTGCTAGTGTGGTGTTAGGGCCATGAAAGACGGTCAAGCAAATCATCATGTCCAGCAAAGGGTCAAGCAAGTCATTAAGAGGTCAAGCAAGGTCACACTGGGGTCAAGCAAGTCATTAAGAGGTCAAGCAAGGTTCACGCAGAGGGTCAAGCAAGTCATTAAGAGGTCAAGCAAGGTCACACAGAGGGTCAAGCAAGTCATTAAGAGGTCAACCAAGGTCACGCAGAGGGTCAGCAAAGGTCAAGAAGAGGGTCAATAGAAAGTCAAGCAAGGCCTGCACTTGACATTATTAGGGACCGCCACGCTTTGCTATAAACAGATGAATTGTTGATTCCCCACACACTCATCATTCTGTCACTTGCTGACAAAACCATTGACCCTTCAGGCTTTACGGCCTTAATGCATGAGTCATAAAGGCAAGCATGAATCACATGCTTCCCAGATGGGCGATGTAAACGCTTGCGCTTACCTGCACAGGATGTAAGGAGGTGCCTAATAAACTAGCTGGGGAAAAAGTCATTAAGAGGTCAAGCAAGGTCATGTAGAGGGCAAAGCAAGTCCAGGCAAGTAATTAGGAGGTCAAGCAAGGTCAACCAAGAATAATAATGTAACTTACCAGGGGTGGGTCATGCTGGGTTTAGTCAAGCGTCATACAGTGCTGCTAAGGGTCAGACAAGACATGGCCCAAGATCTGCTACACAAATTATAGCAGAGGTCAAGGAAACTCACAAGGAGGTCAGTTAAATGTCAGCCTTGGGGTCATGAGAACGAGGGGAGGGGGTCATGTACACACCAGGTAGATGTCATGATGGAATAATTCATGCAAAGATTATGCCTAAGGTCAAGGAAAGGTCATGCGTGTTGAAGCAGTGTTACAAGGGAGGCTGGCGGACGTATGACAAGGCTTATGGAGACGTGTCATGCAAGGGTCAAATGTGGTCATGGGAGTACGGGAGAGGTCAAGATGATGGGGAGGGGCGAGGGGAGAGGTGAGGAGGAGGGGTGGAGTTAGGGGTGGGAGGAGGGGGGAGGTGGTGGTGGTGGGGAGGGGAGGTGAGAGGTGGTGAGTGAGGGGGGAGGTGAGGGGTGGGTGAGTGAGGGGCGGGGAGAGGTGGGAGGGACGAGGGAGAGGTGAGGTGAGACATGAGAGCAGAGGATGACGTCAGGGAGGAAGGAGGCACTCAGGAGGAGGAAGAGGAGGAGGAGGAGGAAAGAGGAAGACACAAGGAGGGAGGAGGAGGAGGAGGGAGGGAGACGAAGAGGGGAGGAGGAGGAGGAGGAGGGAGGAGAGACAAAGAGGAGGAGGAGGGGAGGAGGAGGAGAGGGAGGAGGAAAAGAGGAAGACACAAGGAGGAGGGAGGAGGACGGCAGTGAGGACCAAGAAAGTAAACACAGGAGGCTAAAGAGGTGGCAAAAAAATAACAGAGAAGTTATAAAGGGAGAGGAGGGAAGACTGTTACGAGGCGAGGAGAGAGGAGATGGGAGAGAGGAGGAGGAAGAAAGGTAGACGAGTAAAGAGGAGGAGGAAGATGAGGAAGAGGAGGAGGAGGAGGAGGAAGAGAAGAAGGAGAATAGAATGAAGAGAGAGAAATAAAAGGAGGAGGGAAGGAGGAAGAGGAAGAAGAAGAAGGAGGAGAGAGGAGGGGAGGAAAAAGGAGGAGAGAGAGGGAGGAAGAGGAAGAAGAGGAAAGAATGAGGAGGAGGAAGAAGAAGAAGGAGAGAGAAGGAGGAAAGAAGTCAGAGAAAGCCAAGCGAGAGTTTTTATACCTTAAAGGAAAAATATGAAGTGAAAGAAGGGAATAAATGAAAGAAGAGGAGGAGGAAGAAGAATTGTCAATAGAGAGAAGGAAAGAGGAGGGGAGGAGAGTTGGGGTACAATAAAGGAGGAAGGAAGCAAGAAGGGAAGAAAGAAGGAAGGAAGAAAGAGGAAGGTTAAAGTACAATAAAGGAAGAGGAGAGAAGGAAGGAAGGAAGGAAGGAAGGAAGGGATGGAGGGTATAACGTACAATAATGGATGAAGAAGGAAGGAAGGAAGGAAGGAAGGAAGGGATGGAGGGTATAACGTACAATAATGGATGATAAAGGAAGGAAGGAAGGAAGGAAGGAAGGAAGGAAGGAAGGAAGGAGTAAAGTAAAATAAGAATGGAAGGAGATACAAGGAAGGAGGACGATAAAGGAGGAGGAAGGAGGAAGAAGGGAAGGACACATAACGAAGGAGGAGGAAGGAAGAAGGGAAGGAAGAAGGAACTGAGAAAATTTAATTAAAGTTAAGGTGATGGAGAGATACAAGAAGATGGACGATAGGTGGCGCTCTGGGTGAAGTGGCCCACCAAATATTACCACAGACAGACAGACAGACAGACAGACAGACAGACAGATAAACAGACAAACAGACAGATAAACATAGACAAAACACAGAAAAACAGACATATAAACAGAAAACACAGACAAACAGAGATTAATGGAGAAGCTTTCCAGGTGTGTGTGTGTGTGTGTGTGTGAGAGAGAGATCAAACACACAATCATCGTCTGCAAAACATAAAACGAAACGAAAAGAGAGAGAATAAAAGAAGGAAATAAAAAGGAAATAAAACGCCGCCGAGAGTGAAACAGATAGACACACACACACACACACACACACACACACACACACACACACACACACACACACACACCACACACACACACACACACACAGAGGACGTCTTCCACACAAAGATATTTTCGCTAACACGATAATAAAGGAAGGATTTAATTATGAGAAACCTAAAAGTGAGAATAATTGTCGAGAATAGTTGAGTGAAAGACGCAAGGTGAAGGACGCAAGGTGTGGGGGACGCAAGGTGTGGGGGACGCTAGGTGAGGGACGCGGATTGAAGGACGCAAGGTGAGGGATGCGAGGAAGGACGCAAGTGAGGGACGCGGGTGTGTGTGACGCATGGTGAGGGACGCAAGTGAGGGACGAGGTGTGTGGGTGACGCATGGTGAGGGACGCATGGTGAGGGACGGAAATTAGGGCACATTATAAAACTCAAGTAAAAGAGAATCCTGGCGGTTCGAAGGAAGCAGTGACGACCTATTGAGGCTCCCACCTTCTGATTATGAACCAAACAACTTTTCGATAGATAGATAAATAGATAGATAGATAGATAGATAGATAGATAGATGGATACAGTAGATAGATAGATAGATAGATAGATAGATAGATAGAGATAGATAAACATTCAGTAAAATCATCATACAAGGTACAGTATACATAGACAGTGCAGTTATAAAAACACTTCTTGTTCATTAAATGTCATGTTAGATCTATTCCCATCTATGTTAAAATGCCTCCCATTTATTTTACAATGAACGGTAATTATTTTCTCGAGTGGTAATATTAGATCAATAAATTGGAACTGGTTTATTTTTTATTTATTTATTTATTTTTTCGTTACATTACCATATTCTGCAGTTATAATTCTCTATCTATCTTAAGTTATTATTTGTTATCTATCTATCTATCTATCTATCTATCTGTCTTTATGTCTATCTATCTATCTATCTATCTATCTATCTATCTATCTTCCAATGCTTTTCTCTCGCTCTATCTATCCATCCGGCCATATCTGTCTCTCTCTCTATCCATTTACCCGCCTTCTCTCCTCACTTTAATAAAGCCGGAGGAAGACCAAACACAGTTCATTTTATCTTCCAGTGGTGAGGATGCTGCTGTAAGAACTGGAGGAGAGGAGGAACTGAAAGAGGAGGAGAGGAAGAACTGAGGGAGAAGGAGAGAGGAGGAGAGGAGGAGAAGGAGGAGAGGAAGAACTGAAGGAAGAAGAGAGAAGGAGGAGGAGGAAAGAGAAGAACTGAAGGAAGAAGAGGAGGAAAAGAGGAAGAACTGAAGGAAAAAAGAGAAGGAGGAGAGGGAGAGAACTGAAGGAAAAGAGAAAGGAAGAGGGAAGAAAAATGTGAGGGAAGAGAAGGAGGAGGAGATTAAGAGAAGGAGGGGAGAGAGAGAGAGAGAGAGAGAGAGAGAGAGAGAGAGAGAGGAGAGAGAGAGAAAGAATTGATAAATAGGGAGAGGGAAGATAAACAAGGTCTATAAAATAAGTTTAAATTTGTTGTATTAAAGAGACGTCCTCTTAAAGGACACACACA